TATTCAGTTTCCCCAATTCTTTTGTGCATTACATGCCTGAGCAATGGTTTGATCATTGTCCTACTTTGATTTAACTTGTTGATCAGGTGAAGCCTAAGAAGTTTACTTTTAGGTTCATGAATATGTGTGCAGATCATGAGAATTTTCTGGATGTAGTGAAAGAAGTTTGGGGCTGCAGGGTGGATGGTATTCCTATGTATAGGATGGATGTTAGGTTAAGAAAGTTAAAGCATGTTTCTAAAAACTCACCAGAAGTTGTACTGATATTGAAGTTCAATATGTGAGATTAAATTATGGATGAGATTAAGGAACTACAAAGTAAACTTCAGCAAGATCCTGAGAATGTTGAGGTTAGGAATGCTGAAATCACTACTCTTGTTGAGTTTAGGAAGGTAAGGAAGCGGTATTTTTCTTCTTTGCAGCAAAGAGCTAAGATTCATTGGCTAGAGGTGGGGGATGACAATACAACTTTCTTTCATAGGAACATTAAATTGATGAAATTCATAAGGAGGTTGTGAGTATTAAGGATAAGATAGGCAAGGACTGTAAAACTCATGAAGATATAATTCAAGCATTTGTGGGGTATTATAAGAGCCTATTTGGATATGAATTTTGTGATAGGGTGAATGTAAGTGAGGAGATAGTTCAGAAAGGGAATGTCATTACAGAGGAGCAAGCTATTTTTTGTGTTCTCCTTTTTCTAGGAAAGAGATTAACAATGACAAAGCTCCTGGTCCTGATGGTTACTCGAGTTATTTTTTCAAGAAGGTTTGGCCTGTGATTGGTGATGAATTCATGGATGTTGTTTCCAGCTTCTTTGAAAATGGCAAATTGCTGAAAGAGATGAATTATACTACTTCAACTCTGATTCCCAAGGTGGAGCAGCCTAGTTCTGTTATAGACTTAAGATCCATTGTGCATGCTATAATGTGGTCTATAAGTGTATAAATAAAATCATATGCTCAAGATTGAAGACTGTTTACCTGGTCTCATTTCTCAAACTCAAACAAGCTTTGTAGAGAACAGAAAGATTATTCACAATATTTATATTATTTAAGATTTGGTTGCTCATTATGGTAGGAAGAATGCTCCTAGTGGTTGTTTGTTGAAAGCTGATATAAGAAAGGCATATAACTCAGTCAAGTGGGATTTCTTAAAGGAAATGTTGGGATCCCTTAAGCTTCCTAAGAAGTTTATTGAGCTAGTAATGGTTTATGTGACTTCTGCTTCTTTTTCTCTTAATATTGATGGTGGGCTAGAAGGTTTCTTTCAAGGAAAAAAGGGGGGTTAAGACAGGGTGACCCAATATTCCCACTCTTCTTTGTGATATGTATGGATTATTTGTCTAGAATCTTGAGTTGTGTTGCTGATGACAGAAGATTTAAGTATCACACTAAATGCAGGCAACTTAAGCTCAATCATTTGTTGTTTTTTGATGATCTAATTTTGTTTAGCAAAGAGAAATATTTAGTGGAGCTTATTTTGAGAAGTATAGCCACTTTTACTGCTGCTTCTATTCTAGTGACTAACAGTGGGAAGTCTAATATCTATTGCTGCAATATGAGTTATGAGGATAAAAGGGAGATTAATAGCAAATCTGGATTTAAGGAAGATTTCTTACCTTTTAAGTATTTGGGAGTGAATGTGAGTTTTAAAAAACTTAATTAACTGAATGTCATTGTCTCATTGACAAAATTACAGCCAGAATCAGATTCTGGGGCACTAGATTTTTGTCATATGCAAGAAGGGCTCATCTTGTGAATTCTGTTCTTCTCACCTTGCATTCTTATCGGGCTTCTATTTTTATTTTGCCCAAGAGTGTAATTAATGGAATAGTTGCAGTTTCAGGAATTTTATTAGGATGGAAAAGCTATCTCTAATAAAGTCCCTCTCATTGCTTGGGGTATTGTTTGCAGAAGTAAGAGGCAAGGGGGTTTGGGTGTGCATGATTGTCACTTATGGAATCTTGCTGCTCTTGGTAAGCAAGTCTGGAATATTGCAAGCAAGCAGGATAGTCTTTAGTTAAAATGGGTTAATCACCTGTACATAAAAGGAAGGAACTGGAATTTAAAAGAGCTTCCTGCCTTGCTTCTGCTAGTTGGAGTTGGAAACAGTTATGGAAGGTTAAAGAGATCTTCAAATATGGTTTTACATGAAGCAAGTGGAATGCAAATGTGAAGGGATACACTGTGGCTAGTTAGTATAATTGGCTAATAGATGATCATTCTAAAGTTCCTTAGTGTAACTGGGTCTGGAATAAGTTGAAATATTCCAATACTAGTTTCACCTCTTGGCTGATAGTGTGGAAAAGAATTAGAGTCAGAATGAATTTGGCAAAGTTGGGTATTATCAGTGAGAGTACCTATCCTTTATGTGGGGAAAATGATGAAGTTGTTGAACACTTATTCTTTGATTGTTAGTATAGTAACGTGTGTTGTGATATTGTTGATGGAATTAAAGGTGTTAAGTGTTGTCCTAACACCCTGGAAGATTGCATCACTAGTTTGATTACTATAAAGGGCAAGTCCAGAAGACAAGTTGTGCAGAGTTGCTATGCTGGGATCCTGTACAGTATTTGGCAGCAGAGGAATAAGGCAGTTTGGGACCTTTGTCTGTAGAGTCCATCCTCAAATGGTTATGAAGAAGTTAGTGTGGGAGGTATACCAGAGAATCAATCGGATTATGCCAAGGAGGAAAAGCAGATAGAATAGAGAGTGGTTAAAGTGCTTGAATGTATAACTTTGTGTTTGTTGTTATTTATTTTTGGTTTGGTTGTTTTTGTAGCCGGTTTGGCTCTTGTTTTATAGGCTGGTGGCTGTAGCCTTGTTTGGTTGTACATTTTTTGTGATTTTTAAATTTTTTTACCTTTTTCAAAAATAAAATAAAATTGTGCTGCAATATTAATAATTGAAGAAAAAAGATATATACAGCCCTAAGGGCTGCATATAAGAAGCTAAAAGTAGAAAGAATAAACAATAAATAAACATTTATTACACCGATTTAATCGTGAACTGTTGATAATTTCCCAACTTAATACTAAAAAATGAAGTATATTAAATGCTTATATGCAGCCCTTACGGCTGCATATAGCATTACCCATAATTGAATTATAAATTATATACTTAAATCTACTAACTAAACTATTTTTTTATAAAAAGCTAACATTGAACTCATGTAATATGAAATATAGTGATTTGCTAATTATAATAAGTTAAAGAAAAAATACACTTTAATAATCCCGATTTTTTGCCCAATTTACTTTGAATAATCCCAACTTTTACCTATGTTTTCTTTCTTCAATCCCAAACTGGTCAACAAAAGTCAACAACCGATTATTGTAGGTTGTTTGACACATGTCAGCGTGTGAGTGGTTCAATTTTTTTTAAAAAACAACAAACCAAAAAAAATAAAAAATAAAAATCAGACAGCCACATTCTCCAGCCCTAACCTCCACCTCCTGCCGCAACCCTAAACCACCACCTTTTCCAGCCACCCAAGCCGGAAACGACTCCCACTCCTAGTTGTACCCCCAAAACCGGCCAAAAAACCTAACCCTTTGCCCGTGAAACCACCCCCAGCCCCCAAAACCGCCCATAACTCCAAACCGTTAATGGCGGTTTTACGGGGGTAGTGGCGGTTTCATGGGAAAGGGTTAGATGTTTTGGCCGGTTTCAGGGGTGCGTCTGGTAGTGGGAGTCGATTCCAGCTTGACTAGCAGGAGAAGGTTGTGGTTTAGGGTTGCGGCAGGAGGTGGAGGTGGCATTTGAGGCTGGAGAAGGTGCGTTTGGGGTTGGAGAAGGTGGAGGAGAGAGGGGTGGTTTCCGGTGGGGTTAGGGATGCGGCTGGGGAAGGAGTGAACTCTAGTGGTCGAAGTTGGGAGTGGGCGTGGCGGGCTGAGTATTTTTAAAACTTGAATTTTGTTTTTTTTTGGACCAATTAATGCGTGACACGTGGCATATTAAGATTTTCTTTTTAAAAAAAACTTGATTTTTTTTACCAATTAATGCATGACACGTGGCATATTAAGATTTTTTTTAAAAAAAAAACCCTTCTTAACAAGTAATCGGTTTTTGGGATTAAAGATAGAAAATTGAGATGAAAGTTGGGGATTATTGTAGAATAATCGATAGTTGCGATTATTCAAAGTAAATTGGAATTATTAAAGTGTATTTTTCCTAAATTATATTAATGACGAAAATTAATTATTTTAGCTCAGAATGCCTCGAATTGAGTGAGGAATAAGTGATTTGCTACTAGTTGGAAGAGAAGATTGGTGTCGTTGTCCATCATTTAATTAGTTAACATACTTATTGCGCATATATATATAAGGCTGATCTTTTTTTTTTTTTAACGGAGTGTAATGAAAATAGTTAAGAACGACCAGAACATCAGACTTAGAAGAAGGAGCTCCTACACGAGAACTTTAAAACCTTCCTTCTCTTTTTCATTCGATCTTCTTTGTAACAGATTTCAAATATTAGTACCACGTGGTGAATCCGTACTATTATATTTGAATTCAATCTTTCTTCTCTGATCCATAGAGGGAAGAATAAGTTGGTGCCTCGGGTCCTCAATAATGAAGGTGTCGGAGTCGCCGAAGTATTCGGGGTCACAGGACCATCTCGCAGCGCAGGAGGTGAACTCAGTGATATAGAGTGATATAGAGCCAGGCTGCCCGTTAAATTAGTGTTTTTTTTTCAAGTTAGGAAAAAGTCGATGTTCACATAATAGTAATGCACTATATGATGCACAAAGTTTTATCATGGTCGGGGTTACTTAGTCAAGGGTTACTTATTTGGTTGGAGTTACTTAGTCAAATGTTAGTTGATTGGTCAGAGGTTATCGGGGTAGGAATTAAGGGTCACTTGATCGGTCAGAGATTACTTGGTCGGTCAGGGGTCATTCAAGGGTTACTTGTCTAGTGTGTGATACAGAAAATGCGTTGATGTATTGTAATGAAATATTAAAATCTTGCTAAAAAAGAGAAATAGATAATTAAGATATAATAACTTTTCAAAAAATAAGAAAGAATAAAATAAAGAGTTTCAAAACGACATCAATATGACAATAGGAACACAAAAGAGATAATGGTAATTTAATGAAGATTGAACACCTCGCTTAGCGTTGCTTAACCTCCACCGCACCGTCATAATCAAATTCCTATATACCCTTCTAACCGTCTTTGCTTACTCACTAAGGAACTTTCCCAGAGAACCAAGAAAAGAGATTTTGAAAATGGGTCTACTTTCTAACAGGTTTGTTCAATCAATTTTTTACCCAATTTCTAATTTTATCAAAGTTTCCAATTTTTATTTGTCTAATTATGCAATTTCCATTTCAGGGTTGATCGAAACAGTCTTAAATCTGGGGATCACATCTATTCTTGGAGGACCGCTTATATTTATGCCCATCATGGTAATTTCTTTTATTGTATTTAATTTGATTGTTTTATTTTAGAATTATGAGGGTTTTTTTTTTTTTTTTTGGGTGTTTGTTTATGTTCATCTTAATTTGATGTTTGGTATTTTATGAAATTAGATAAGGTTTGTGGGTTTTTGAGTTGAAGGGTTAATTATTGAATTTGATTGTTGGTCTAATTATGTGAGATTTTCATGAAATTTGAATTATTTGCTTAAAGGTATATTTGATCAAAGGGAAATACAAAGTAAAGTATTGTAGGGAATTTATTAATGACTATTGAGTGAGGATGTGAAGGGTGGTTTTCTGAAGTTGCTGTTAGGGTCTAGTCCCTTGTCCAACATGCTCGTCGATCAAGATGAAGTGGATCTTGCAATTGAAAGTCAAGAACTAAAGTGATTGAAGAAATTAGACCTGCTTTAATCATTATAGGAAATGAAAGTGCCTTTGGTATATAGTTATTGGGATTTTTGATTTAATTTTCATGTTTGAATTCCCAAATGGTAAACATTGTGACTGAATATGAGTTGGGGCTGGTAATGATGCCAACTATTAGATTGTGGTATCCTTATTATGGTGTTAAAATGTGGACATTTCACCCTTGGTCTAATATCTAGAATGGAAGGTTGATTTTTATCCCATTCTAGAGTCATTTCCGATTCTAGTATCCGTTTTCCTTGGCTCTTTCAATGCTGCCACTTCTGAACATTTTTGTCTTTTACAGGTCACTATTAAATGGATTGTATTTTAGGTTAGATTGGTGAGACATTATAGTGGATTCTAGTTGGTTGGAACTTGGGAGTCATCGTGGTAACTTGGTTGCCTCTGATTTGGAATACTATATTTATGATGCCTATCAATGTCCCTTCTCTATTGTTAGAGGTAGTTCTTGTATTTTGATTTAGACATGAAACCTGTCCATCAAACATTAGGACACTAAAAATGCATATCCACCAATCTTTTTCATAAGGATGTTATTTTTGGTTTTCTTAATGTGTTGTTAGGAAAATGTTTTGTTAGTAGTGGTTAGGAATGAATAAGCTTTCCCTGTGTGCGAATGTGATGGCTCCACGCCGTTGTTAATATCATCAAATTCGCACATGTTCATGTGCTGGTTGTCCATGTACATTTGAGAGAAAGGGAGTAAGTGAAAATTGGCTCTTGTACTGGACAAGTACTGACACGCTTAGTAATAATGGAATGGGCATAGTCATTGAAGTGTTAGTCATGTGGGCAGTATGCTTCCAGTTCCATGTTTTGTCTAGCTAGTATACACGTGTTATCTCTATGTTACAGACTTGATGAAGACAATTGAGCTGCCTTTCTTTTGAGGTTGTCCCAACAGTCCCTTTTCAGTATGCCCTGGCTTTCAGTGTTTATGGTGATCAGGTTTGTGCAATAACTTACAAGTTTGTGTGACTGGTGTATGTTGTTTGTAATACTTACTTAGTAAGAGCATAGTATGTGAATTTAGTTTGTAGAAATTGTAGCTATTGCTGAGATTAAGGTCTCAGGCTCTCGCAGAATTGCAGATTTGAGTGGCTATGGCCCTGTTTCATGTTAACTACGAAGTATTTTTCATTGTTTATTAGTTACGGAATTGTTATTTGGCATCTCTGGCAGACCAATTAAGCATCTGAAAGTTTTGTTTGAGCCTTGAATGAAATAGCGCCACCATGGGCTTTATAATGTACTTTGAAATTTGTGAGTTAATGTCTAGAAGCCTGAGAGGTTGAAATTGATATTATATTAGGGTTAAACTTATGCGCATTGTATAAGGATTAATTGAGTGTATATATTAACTTACCCTTAGAAACTTCAATGAGTTCAATCAATTGATTAACTGACTGATAAGATCATGTCTATTTGATTCGATATTCTTCAATGAGGGAAAAAGAAAATGATTTAGCAGGCATGACAGCACTTTTGATCAACTTAATTTGGGGCCTAGTGTTATTTTCTTTTTTATTTTTCATTTTTTGGCTTGCGTGTGTCAAGAAGTGGTCCTTAATTATGTGCGTTGAATATTTAAGGTGCCATAACTTCAAGGTCAGGCCATCTTGTAACGGCCTTTGAAATCTATTTACTTCTCTTATTAGTAGAGATTTTGACTTCTAATACTTATTTCTTTTACTAATCAATGTAGGTATTTTTGTTGGGGATAATAAAGTGATCCACTTCACTAGGCGCGGTCAAGAAGTAGGAACAGGGACTGTTTTGGATGTTCTGTTAGTAAGCTCAGGACCTACTCGAACGCATGTACCATGCCCTACTTGTATTCCTCCCGAAGAAGGCCATGGGGTTGTCTCATCATGTTTAGATTGCTTCCTTGCGGGTGGCATCTTGTATCGCTTTGAATACGATGTCAAAGCCACCCTTTTTGTTGCTAAAATGCGTGGCGGGACATGCACTCTTGCTGCGTCAGATCCCGATGAAACTGTGGTGCATCGAGCAAAATACCTACTTGACAATGGCTTTGGCTTTTACAATGTCTTCAAGAATAACTGTGAGGATTTTGCTATATATTGCAAAACAGGGCTTGTTGTCATTGACCAAGTGACGATGGGCCAAAGCGGGCAAGCAGTGTCACTTATCGGGGGCCCACTCGCAGCTGTTCTTTCAACACCATTGCGTTTTTTAACTGCCAGCCCCTATGGAATGGCTGCAATGGCCGTGGGTGTATACTGCACAAGCAGAGTTGCAGCTGATATTGGCATGAGGAAGGATGTCATGAAGTTGGAGGTTGAGGACCTAACGAGGCGGCTAGCAATTGGTGCTCTTCAGGTACTAAACCCACAACTTCCAGCTCCACTTGTCAGCTAGTGCACTGCTGCTTATCGTGGTTGTCTTTAACACGGGATTCGTTTATTTAATTTAATAACGCTGTTTAAATTCTCAAATTAAACTTGATACCGTGCTAATAGTGTCGGAGTGCAAAATCTTGAGCACTAATGATTTGCTGGACATCAGCTCAGTTGGCATCAGTCATAATGACTGTTGTAAGTTGATGACATTTTGTAATGTTTGTGATCTGTCTAGTTTGTTTAATGAAAACCGATGTGCTACACTTTTACTTGATGTGGACGATGCATTTGGTTTTCCTGTGATTTTTGTTGACAGAAGTTACAATCCATGAATGTTGTATCGCCTTCAATATCTATATAATGTACAAACGACTACAAAGAATATTTACAAATTCAAATTTACAATTATTACATTATCCCACCCTCGTAGTCGAAATGGGAGGAAGGTAAAATTAATTCAAATAATTAACTAGAACTTGTTCATAGTATAGAGATTCAGCTAATAGTGCACGTGTTTCATAATGCTGCCGTATCCAATTCATGATAAGGACTTGCAAAAGCTAAAATTAGTGGGCAACATAGGCTTTAATAAAGCCAATGTTCTCAAAGTATTTCTGCCTTAGAAAGTGTTGACAGTTCACAATTTATAAATAATATCTTTAGATTACATTTCAAATTATTTTTAGCTACTAATGGTAGTATATAATACTACTTACTAGCTAGGTGTATCTTTCAAAGTTTTCATCCAACGTTGTTTGCTTGTTTCCTTTGTTTTATTACATTTTGTTCAAATTAAAATTTATTGTTTTTGTAAATGATTAGTATCAAAGCCAAATAAGTAAATGATAAGTGTTACTCAATCAGGCCATGGATTTTCGTTCCTTTTACTACTCCCATGTTTTGTCAAGCTCTATTGGTCTATAATGGTTCCTTTTCAAGTATTCTACCCCGAACTTTTAGACTACTCCTACAACAATGCAGCCAACAGGTGTTATGGGCTGATGTCAATGCATAGCACATGAATAGTGTGTTTTGATTGTTTTACCGCTACTGTTTGTGAATTTCATCCAACAATCAGGGCTCCATCAAGTGCAAAAGCCGCAATTTACCAACTTTTATTGCTTTGTTTCAGTTTGGTTTGTACGAGCTAGTTCTAAGTGTGTGTTGCTTTTAACTTTCTTTTACTTAGTCTAGGTTGTAATCATGTCTTTTAATTAAATAATCTCTTTGTCAAAAAAATAAAAATAAATAAAATGAAAAAATGAAAAAATAAAGAGATTGAGCATATACTCGTACTACTTATCAACTCGTATATGTTAAAACTCTAATCTTAATTTAGGGTAAACTCCATATAGATTGGACACCAAGCTATACAAGAAAGAAAACTTCTAGAACATACTAAGTACATTTTTGCATTCAAACCCTAATAATACCACTATCACAACTTGTCGCCTTAAAAGCTCACAAGGACATCTAGGATCGTTTTAAACTATTTAGGGCCTTGTGCTAATATAAACTTAGGCTCCTAAAAATAAAGTTATTATAAATGCAATGTTAATTTATCATTCTAGTAGTATATGTTATGTTATTATAAATGTTAGTCAATGTGAGTGTACTATTTGAAGATATTTAATGAGCTTATGTGATGAGGATGAAAGAGTGAATTAAGGATAAAGGAGTGAATTAAAAAATGGATCCATGTATTGAGAAGAGAGATTGCTTTTAAATAAGTGTATAAAGGTAGGGAACATCACAACAATAATATTTATAATTCCTTTTTTTTTATTCCCTAAGTATGACAACATGAAAATATGTTTAGTAATTTACATCCTTTTTTAATACGGAGTACCTCCATATTCTCTACTATCAAGTATCAACTAATCACATTAAACACCTTATTATTCTTTGAAGAGGGAAAAATATATGAAAGTTAGGATTGTCTTCTCTCAACACTATTTCTTAATGTCATGTGTATACCTACGTGATCCAACGTAGTGAAGAAAATGTTTTACAAATAGAATCCATTTAAGTATGAAAAAAATTGACAAAGGGAATTGAAAATAACCTAATAGCTACTTTGTACTTGATATCATCCCTATGTAGCTGAATCTTCAACGAACCTTAAGCTTGAGTGTAAGCCTAATCTTGCAAAATACAAGTATATCTTTGTAATTACAAGCTAAGGCCTAAGAGTGTATTTAATTCATTTGATTTTTACTTATTAGAACAATGTAATTGTCTTATCTAAACTTACTTTTTCTAAATTAAATAAAATAAGGTAAACAAAATAAGACGGCAAGACGCGCCTCTGTGAAATATATTTTATTTTATTTGCCAAATAAATTTATATATGTAATTCTTCCTCATTTTTGTAAATTGTGTCACTTGTGATTTCAAGCTTGCCAATTCATTGCTTTGGCTATTACTCCCTCCGTATCGTAATAATCGCAACACTTTTCTTTTATGTCCGTTTCATAATAACTGCAACACTTTCTTATTTGGTAAGGATCCACTATTATTTTACTCCCTCCGTCCCCGAATGTTTGTTACTTTGCCATTTTGGGGGGCTCTATACGCTTGTCACATTTCATATTTTCATAATTATTAAAATACTACCTCCGTTAACTATTATTTGCAACATTTACCAAAAAAAAGGGTGCTAACTAGTATTTGCAACATTCCCAAATCTTTCGATTTTTAGTAATTTTTTAAATAAAATTACAAAAATACCCTTATTTAAAACTTTATAACATCAATTACATACATAAAACATAATTGATTAAAAACTAATCTAATCTAATTAAACTTATTTTATCTTTCAATAATCATCAATTTCTCCATATTCATCTCTTCATCTTCTCCATTATCTTTCTCTCTCCTCAATCATCTTCTTCCTTTTCCCCATAATCTTTCATCCTCTTCCCCATTAACTTTCTTTCTCCTCCTTCAACCACTTCTCATGAATTGAAGCAAAAAGACACCCAATTTCAGATATGGAGAAATGGTCTCGGTTTCGTGGGTGTGGGTGTGGGTTCTGGGTTAGTGTGTCTGGTATGGGTCTTGGTGCGAGGGTCTCGGTTTCTTGGGTTCGGGTTCGTAGGTCTAGGGGGGTCCGTGGGTTAGGTGGTTTCGGTTTGTGGGTTCACGGTTGTGGGTGTGTTCGCTTATGGGGTCTGGGTTTGTGGCTGGTGGTTTTAGGTTCGTGGGTTTGTGGGTTCACGGTGGTGGGTGTGTTCGTCCGTGGGTTCTGGCTTTTGGGTTTGTGGCTGGTGGTTCAGGGTTCGTCGGTGGTGGTTTTGGGTTTGAAAGGTGGGTGGTTCTGGGTGGCGTGGGTGGTGGTTCTGGGTGGTTTAGTTTTATTGTGTTTTTTTTTTTTTTTTTGGTTGGATTAATACTAAGTACATGCCCTTATTTTTTAATAATAATGCTTAACATCTTTTGCCTAGGAGTCTACGTAGACCCCCTTTGTTGCAAATAACATTTAATGGAGGAAGTACATAAAAAAAAAACTTTTATAGCCTCATTTTTTTGTCCTTATTAAGTCTTCTTCCTATTTTACCCAAACATTTGCCATAAAAATTGTTCCAACTTTTGACTAATTTAATTTTTTACACTCTTGAATCTCTCAATTGTACTTTAATTACCTTTTGAATTGGGAATATCTCTTTTCCATGCACTTTTATTACTTTATTGGTTAGGAATTTCACTTTCTCATATACTTTCATTACTCCACATCCTCTACCTTAATTCCCGTGAATTTTCATCAAAAGTGGCAAACATATGGGAACGGAGGGAGTATTAATTATCTCTCCTACTCATCCTACTTTCACAAATAATTTATTATTTCTATCTTCGACCAACCCCATTACACTACTTTTTTATTATTTCCCTCTCATACTAACTATACTTTATATTATAAAAAAATTGTCCACTTGCATTATTTTATTGAAGCCTACAAGTCAATTCTAGATTTTTCTTAAACTATGTACACTCCCTACCATTGCGATTATTATGAAATGAAGGAGTAATATTTTTAATTATACTTTAGTAAAAAAAAATATATAAAAAAAAATTGATATTTGAAAAATATATGTCGAGACCAATCTAATTAGAGTTTTGTTGTCTACAACTTATTTTAATTAATTACTTATTCTTGTTAAAATCATATCAAATCTGACTAGATCAGATCTTCTTAATTCCGTTCAATTGTTGTCATATATCTTTAATTTCGTAACTATAAATATAATGAAATAGTATATTTAAAAAATTAGATGTTGAGACGAATCTACTGAGATCTCAATTGATAATGTTTCTTATATACGAATATATTGACTTAATTAAGGTAAAATTTAGTCAAATTAGACAATTATATCAAATTAGATGAGATCTGAAAAATCTAGACCAAACCAAACTTTAGAAAATTCAAATCAAAACATCTCATTTTAAGTAAAGTGAACAAAGTCTAGATCTCACATGACTATGTTTCCTTACATATATAGCACAAAAAATGATGAAATTTTTCATATACACATGGGTATTCAATGCACCCAACTGGTAGGCGTGTCGCGTACCTAACAAAAATAACCTAACTAACCACTACTATGAAGACCGGCAAGCGAGGGTCGAATCCCAAGAGACTAAGGTTCAAAAATAATTAAATAGACTCAAATTCCTACTAAGCAGAAATCAATAATAATCGAATAATTAAGGAACTAATGTGTGGAAAAATCGAAATTAAACTAAAGAATATGAAGAAATCAATTAAAAACATCCAAGATCAAGTATCACCACAATTGCGAATGATGCAATTATATTTCTACCCCTAATATACAATTCCAATTGAACGGGGAAAAGTAAACCCTAATAATTACCAAAGACCTCTCTCGAGTATCAATGGCCTCCCTAACATACAATCAAGCCTATTCTCATGGTATCATGCATATTAGATACATTGCACACATTACTCTAACTTCCCAATTATCAAACCCAACTACTCTCGTGTTGAATATCAAACCCTAAATTGATCTACTCAAATCCGTTTAAACCAAACTCTCGTTGTGATAGAAACAATGGAATAATCGCAATACTAAATTACGTATAACCTAGTATTGGCATGATCACAATCAATTTAGCATAGCAATTGCAAGAGTTATTAGAGAATTTAAAGATTTAATTCATGCATCAATCATAATTGGGCTACCCTAGATCTTGGAATAGGAAATCTACTCACACATATTGAAGGAAACAATAACAAAAATAATTGAAGAAAACATGATCAAGAAACAAGAGATTAAAGGAAAATACCAAATCTTGAATTAAATTGAAAGTGGAAAGTATAAATCTTGAATCTTGAATTACAAAAGTAGAGGAAAAATAAAATAAAATAGAGAACTAGTTCTTCACAACGCAAAATAAAATGCTAGAATAAAACTTAATCAAATAATAAAACACCACTTAGTATAAATATAAGCCTAGAAAAGATAAGAAAATCGGCAAAAGGATTGGCGCACAAGAATCCCTGCGTGCATAAACTTGGGTAGCTTCTGACTTCCAGGCACGGACGTGCCTCCCCTGCTGCGCGTATCACTCATCTTAAATCAGTCATAACTTCATATCCGGAGCTCCGTTTGAGGCGTGTAATATATTGTTGGAAAGGTATTCAAGTCTACTTTCCAATTCAATTTGAATCACTCCATTATCATTTGTATATCAAACGTTATGAGCATAATAGTGAACATGTATCATATTTGTCAAGTATTTCATCAACGTTTTGCTTCATTTTCACTCAAGTTCGTCTCGAACACATGTTTTGATATTATTAAGCAATATGTTTTCATAATCCATGATTATTATACTCAATATTAGCCAACCATACTTCATTTGCATATAAATCACCTGAAATTCATCAAAAACAACGAAACTACCCATAAAAGCATCGAATCATCGAAACTAAACCAAATTACACCAAAATGGACTAAAACACTCAACAAAACTAATAAAACCAACTAAAAACAAGCTAAATAATATGCATAAAACCAACATAAAACACGACTTATCAAACTCCCCCAAGCTAAACTAATAAAACCAACATAAAACAAGCTAAACCAACTAAAACACGACTTATCAAACTCCCCCAAGCTAAACTAATGCTTGTCCTCAAGCATTTAACCATAAATCACAAGGGAGGAGAAAGACAACTTCTCAAACCATCACAATGTGCCATCAATTTGAAATCACGAGGAAAACAAAAATAAGAGTCAATATGCATAAAAACCACCATAAGCCTCATATACTTGGAATCGACAAACATCTTACCACACATCTCCCCATACAACCTCACACAAACATGAATAGCTCTCACTTTAGTTGTGAAAATAAAAACAATAAACGCTCATGTGTTTACGGGGTGAAATATGATATCACTCAACCTAAGCATAGAATGCACATTAACTTCACATGAATCGGCCTCTTTAGGCTTGCCATGTGACTTTCTCCACTTTTAATGATTGATGCAATTACGAAAATCATGAAATCCATAAAAGGTAAGCTCGGTGAATAAGGGTTGGACAACGTAATTTGGGAATGTGGTGCTCAAAATATAACAAAACCTAATCCCAGTACACATTCAAATGTCGGGTCCAAGCCAACCTTATATCCTCCAACTTCATACAAAATAAGCATAGTCCCTTTATTTCTTTCTTTTTCCTTCTTTTGTTTTCTTTTTTTAAATCATACTTTTTCTTCCTTTTTTTTATTATTTTTTTTCTTTTGTATAAAGAAAGGGATTCATAGCAAATTAGGAATTAGGAAGACTTTTAAAACTCTTTTTTTTTTCTTCTTTCTTTTCTTTTCTCTTCTTCCTTCCTTCCTTCTAATAGATCAATTCCCTTCTTTCTCTTTTTCTCTTTTTTTTATTATTTTTTTTATACATCACTCATAGGGCTTTAACAAGTGTAAAACACCTTCAAAATTAACGTAGGAAAATAGCTCTATGGCTTTAAATGTAGGGTATCAAGAAGGGGTTAAGACACGGCTCAAATTGGCTCAACCTACGGGTGAATGAAAAATAAAAAAAATATATGTAGGCCTAAAATGTGGAGGCTCTATTCTCTACAAGGAAATTTCAATCATTTTTTCGCAACATGCATCATTCAAGTCTCAAACAGTCAAAGAGCAAGACCAAGAATTTAATTATATGAAGGACAACTAATCACACATGAAGAAACACGACTGAGATAGAGTGCAATCAGTCAAATATGGCTCAAAGATCTCACCAGGTACACAATCTATTCACATAAGTAGAGCGGGGAGACCATCCTGGCCACAAACCAACTCAATTCCAAGCAATTCAGTGAATGGGTTTTCAAAAACTCTTTTCGCAAAGCACACATATATGATCATTATCATAGAAGCATAGTCATGTAATGGCATATCAATCAACACTAAAAAGAAATAAACTAACCAAAAACTAGAAGAAAACTAATATATACATGGTGAAAAGTAAATCCTCCCCCAAGCTAAATCATACATTGTCCTCAATGTATGCATATAACAGTGTAAATGAACAAGGGGAAGGGGAAACAACCTACTGATCAGGAGGGGTGGGGGGAAAACCATACCTCGGGTCGGTGCTAGGTTGGAAGCACAGACGTGCCTTATTTCGTGGACTCCATCTTCGTAGAATTTGCTCTTTTCACCTATTTAGATAGAGAAAAATAAAAAATAAAAAATAAAAAAAAAGAACACTAATAACCACATCAAGAATCAAAAATAAAATAAAATAAAAAAGAATAAAAGAAAAATAAAGGATCGAGAATGGGTTGCCTCCCATTTAGCGCTTGTTTATAAGGTTTTTAGCTTGACCGTAGTGATACTCATTGGCTCAACCGGGGTCACCACACGAAGGGGGAACTCCGCAATGTTGCCCATGGGAATGATTACCTCCAAGTGACTCCTTCATTTTATTGTTTACCTACCTTATGTCCGAACTCACCTTCATGTGGCCAAGAACATCATCGGGTGGAATTTTGTCCTTGCTTCTCACGAAATTTCTATCAAATACATACTTATCAAGCAAAGGGTTAGTAGCATCGATTCTTAAGCAAGTACCACCGTCAAATATAGAATTATGTTCATCAAAGAGCTTGAACATGACTTGTTTATCCTGGGCCCTAATGGTCACTTGTCCTTTAGGAGCATCTATTAAAGCTTGACTTGTGGCAAGGATTGGACGACCAAATATAATCGGGATCTTATGGTCTTCTTTCATGTCCATAACAACAAAATCAACAGGAAAAACAAGTTCACCAACCTTAACTAATACATCTTCAACCACACCCTTAGGGAGTCTAGAGGTCCTATCAGCCATTTGAAGAGAGATAGGGGAAGGTTTAAGTCCTTGCAAGCCTAAACTCTCATATAATGAATAATGCATTAAGTTAACACTAGCACCTAAATCGCACAAAACCCTATCGAAAAATTTCTCGTTTACCGTGCAGGGAATAGTGAAACTACCCGGATCATGCAGCTTAGGTGGTAGCTTATCATATAAGAGAGTAGGGCCCTTCTTATTTACTACTTCCTTATCCTTTTGTTGATCTTTAATATTCTTCACAAAATTTGCAAATTGAGGCATTTGAATTAAAAGATCAGAAAAGGGAGTAGAGGCGTGTACCTTCTTAAGAGCTTCGCAGTATTTCCCAAAATGTCTATCGAGTACGGCTTTTGACAACCTTTGCGGGAAGGGCATCGGTTCCTCATAAGCCGGTGGAGCAACATATTTGGGACCTTGAACATCTTTGCCCCTTTTATTTTCTCTAGACTCCACACTGCACACCTTCTCATCTATTTGCCTCGGAGGTGGTTCATCTCTTCTCAAGAAAACGGCATTACATTGTTCCTTTTGAACCTTCGCTTGATCATGAAGAGTTGATAAACGACACACCTGTTGTGAAAGCTGACTTACTTGGGTTTCCATGAGCTTACTCTAGGCTTGCAACTGTTGGATGGAGCTACCTTGTTGTTGGATGGCACTATTGGTCGTGGTAATGAAGCTCTCCATCATCAACTCAAGGCTAGATTTTTGGGGAAGTAGTTGCATTGGTTGTTGGTTCATAGGTGGTCTTTGTTGGAAGCCGGGTGGTGAATTGTAGTTGTTGGATAGGGATGGTTGTGATGGTGGATTCGGTTGTCCTTGGGTGTTCTTATAAGAGAAGTTGGGATGTTGTTTCCAACCTTCGTTGTAAGAATTGGAGTAGGGATCAAAAGGTTGTTTGGGGTTCGAAGAGTAGAAAGCATTGGCTTGTTCAATAGACATCTCACTCATATTCTGCGGGCAATCCGGTGCGATGTGGCCCTGAACATTGCACATTTGACAAACCTCCAGTGGGCTAGTAGAAGTTCCAGCTTGGAACTTATCAAACCTGCTTGTTAGTTCCTGCACAGAACTGGCTAACATAGTCAAAGCATCTACATCAAGCTTACCTCCTTTTTTCACATTCTGACGACCTCCTGGATGATAATTATCATTGGCCGCCATCTTCTCAATCAGCTCCTTTGCCTCAGTTGGGTTCTTTGTCAAGAGAGAACCCCTGATGCAGCATCAATGTAGATTCGGAACTCATGGGTTAGGCCATTATAGAAGGTTTGAATCAACAGCCACTCTGGGATACCGTGATAAGGGAATTGTCTTTGTAAGCGCTTAAACCTTCTCCAAGCCTCATAGAGAGACTCGTCATCTGACTGTCGGAAGGTGGATAACTCGTTCCTCAACCTGACAGTCTTCTCATGTCCCAAAAACTTCACTAAGAAGGCCTTCACTAGCTTGTCCCATGTATCGAACGAGCCAGTGCCTTCATCTCTCAACCACTCCTTTGCCCTATCCCGTAATGAGAAGGGGAAAAGGCGTAGTCTAATTGCATCATCTGTAACACCATTCATCTTCATAGTATCACATTTCTCCAAAAAACTATCAATATGACTTACCGGGCAATCATGTGGTAGCCCTGCGAATGAAGCATTGGAGATGAACTGGATGAATTACGGCTTGAGCTCGAAATGTTGGGCCGTCACAGGTGGCCTTACGATGCTAGAAAGGATTCCGGTAGTCGTATCAGGAATACCGTACTCCAAAAGGGATTTCGTTGGTTGGTCCACCATGTTTCTATTGGTTTGATTTCTCCTTCTTCTTCTACCTGCTCGTCTTCTTGCGATTGCTTCGATTTCAGAATCAAAAGGTACTAGATCTTTTGAACCTGAGCGTCGTGTGGGTATGCAACAAGAAGACTAGAGAAAGAGTATCAAAAACACAAGAGAAAATAGGCGAAGCAACAAAATAAGCCTAGCAGAAGCGAATCACAAATAATCTAATGAAACCGTTAGTCCCCGGCAACGGCGCCAAAATTTGGAAGGCGTGTCGCATACCTAACAAAAATAACCTAACTAACCACTACTATGTAGACCGGCAAGCAAGGGTCGAATCCCAAGAGACTAAGGTTCAAAAATAATTAAATAGACTCAAATTCCTACCAAGCAGAAATCAATAATAATCGAATAATTAAGGAACTAATGTGTGGAAAAATCGAAATTAAACTAAAGAATATGAAGAAATCAATTAATTAAAACATCCAAGATCAAGTATCACCACAATTACGAATGATGCAATTATATTTCTACCCCTAACATACAATTCCAATTGAACGGGGAAAAGTAAACCCTAATAATTACCAAAGACCTCTCTCGAGTATCAATGGCTTCCCTAACATACAATCAAGCCTATTCTCATGGTATCATGCATATTAGAGACATTGAACACATTACTCTAACTTCCCAATTATCAAACCCAACTACTCTCGTGTTGAATATCAAACCCTAAATTGATCTACTCAAATCCGTTTAAACCCAACTCTCGTTGTGATAGAAACAATGGAATAATCGCAATACTAAATTACGTCTAACCTAGTATTGGCATGATCACAATCAATTTAGCATAGCATTTTCAAGAGTTATTAGAGAATTTAAAGATTTAATTCATGCATCAATCATAATTGGGCTACCCTATATCTTGGAATAGGAAATCTACTCACACATATTGAAGCAAACAATAACAAAAATAATTGAAGAAAACATGATCAAGAAACAAGAGATTAAAGGCAAATACCAAATCTTGAATTTAAATTGAAGGTGGAAAGTATAAATCTTGAATCTTGAATTACAAAAGTAGAGGAAAAATAAAATAAAATAGAGAACTAGTCTTCACAACGCAAAATAAAATGCTAGAATAAAACTTAATCAAATAATAAAACACCACTTAGTGTAAATATAAGCCTAGAAAAGATAAGAAAATCGGCAAAAGGATTGGCGCACAAGAATCCCTGCGTGCATAAACTTGGGTAGCTTCTGACTTCCAAGCACGGACGTGCCTCCCCTGCTGCGCGTATCACTCATCTTAAATCAGTCATAACTTAGTATCCGAAGCTCCGTTTGAAGCGTATAATATATTGTTGGAAAGGTATTCAAGTCTACTTTCCAATTCAATTTGAATCACTCCATTATAATTTGTATATCAAAAGTTATGAGCATAATAGTGAACAGGTGTCATATTTGTCAAGTATTTCATCAAGGTTTTGCTTCATTTTCACTCAAGTTCGTCTCGAACACATGTTTTGATATTCTTAAGCAATAAGTTTTCATACTCCATGATTATTATACTCAAGATTAGCCAACCATACTCCATTTGCATATAAATCACCTGAAATTCATCAAAAACAACGAAACTACCCATAAAAGCATCGAATCATCGAAAATAAACCAAATTACACCAAAATGGACTAAAACACTCAACAAAACTAATAAAACCAACTAAAAACAAGCTAAATAATATACACAAAACACGACTTATCACCAACTAATTTAAGGTTTGTTTTTTTTTCTTTGTTTAATGATTAAATGAAAACACAATCGTTAAAATGAGACAAAATATTCATGGATACACTATGTATCCTAGTGTATATCACAATCTCTTAAAAAATAATCAAATGATTTTATGTAAAAGTCCAAATAGTACTCCTTATAATTTAAAAAATTGAGAAAGTATTTGTTGAAAACTGAACTGCAGAAACAAAAACAGTAAGAACGATGTTACCAGGAATGAGACTGAGTCGCGGACTATGTCGCTCTCTTTAGAACATTCACGGCACTGCCTTGAGTTTGTGCAAGCAGCTCGTACCTATCCGGATGTCCCCCAGGATAAAACAGCCTCTCAAAACTATAAAGTACCGGTGGATTTGCACTGAACCACCGGGCAACTAAACACCAAAAAAATGTAATGAAACTGCTCGAATAGTTTAAGAAGAAGAGAGATTAAGAGATAATTGTTTCTGTGTATGAAAACCGTGAACAAGAAGGTCTTTTATAGGCAAAAAAAATGGCAACATAACGGAACCAAATAAATCAGCCGTTAAATCGGCCCATAACTAGCAATTAGCAAAACCGAAAATTAAAATAAAAAACGGTCAAAATTTAATTTGCGATATTAACACACCATAAAGCCAGAAAACGGAACAAATTAAAACGGCTTCAAAACGGTCAAATTTTAATGAACATAAAATCTGGAATAAAACGGTTATGGAGAGAATCAGTCAAAAACGTTTAGCAAAAATCAAGGCACTAATCACGTAATTAGGCCTTGTACAAAAACTGTGCAAAAATTAAGCTTGTTTAATAAACCCGACCCAACCCAGCCCGGCCCGGCTTGGCTCGATTCGGCGCGCGTGTGTTGGGTGTAGGTAAGTCTTCCCTCTCCACAAAATGTGGGTAGCCCTTGGACCACACCTAAGTATACTACACACTTCTATATAAAGAGAGCAAGACTCTCATTTCCCACCAATGTGGGACTTTGTGATTTTTCACAAAATTCACACCCAAACACTCTTTGTTCCAACAATCCCCCACTTGAATTTTTTGAAAACATTTCGAGCAGAATCCTTACATATATAGGTTGTGCGTAAACAGAAGTGTTTTTCAACTTGAACTTCTGCCTAGTAGATACGATTCAGATTTAACAAGGGTAACTCGAAGTTTTGAACCCTATCACTGACAACGTACCACAAACGACCTATTCTTGGTGTTGTTATAGACCCGTGCTATTATGGTCATGCACGTCTATCCCAATATAGTGAACGCTCTAGAAATGCTGCCACACATTTCATAGGAAGCGGCCTAACTTCCACATTCACATAGGTGAATCTATCAAGAGTACTCCTGTAGCTAGATGCTCCACTCCAAATGTAGTATAGATTTCATTAAGAGTTCCTATTAACTCATCCTTGATCGCTTCAGGAATTTATGTCTTTTGAACATAATCAACTCATGTCACTCCATAACTTGTTATAACCCATTGAACCTATTTCTTGGGATCTCCAGTCTATAGGTTGGGTTACCATTATGTGTGACTCATTTTAATGGCAATAGTCCCATTTTCTTAGAAAAATTATGGACTTTCTCTCTAGCCAATCCTTTCGTCAAAGGATCAACCAAATTATTCTCAGTGCGTACATGATCCACTCTAATAGCTCCGATAGAGAGATATTCTCTTACAGTGCTGCGCTTGCGACGTATTTTTCGTCTCTTACCGTTGTAGTAACGGTTTTGAACTTTTGCAATAGCCGCGGTACTATCGCAATGGATCAAGACAGCAGGTAATGGTTTTTCCCACAAGGGAATTTCATCTAGCAGGTCTCTTAACCAACCTGCTTCTTCACTAGTTGTAGCTAGTGCTATCATTTCTGACTCCATGGTGGACTGAGCCAAAATAGTTTGTTTCTTAGACTTCCAAGATACAGCTCCATCGGCTATAAAGAAAATATATCCACTAGTAGCCTTAGAGTCATCTGACAAGGTGTTCCAGTCAGCATCACTATAGCCTTCTAGTACAGCTGGAAACCTCTCATAATGTAATCCTAGGTTCATGGTCCTCTT